AAGAAACAATTTGTGAAATGTATTGTCAAGAAACAGCAGCGTCACAGAATATCAACCTTGCAGTTAAAAAAAAGATAGAAGGGTAACACCTGGACATATCTCTCTGTTATTATGTTACTGCAAAATGGATGGTGCGTTTGATTTATTAAACCCAACCTACTGAAACTTGTGGTAAGAAGAATCAGGACTTGTGGCACAATGTCCCGTTTTTACACGCTGCAGTGGAAATCTAAAATCACAGCTTGCCTTTTTTATTCTTTTTAATTGCTGAAGTATTCAATTTCTCTAATAATTCCAAATATCTACTGTATTCTAAATAAATCTGTTCAGGTCAGGTTTTTCATGGATACTGTCATTTCAATCTGTGCGTTTGGGTTTTGGTTTTTGTTTCTTGGGTTTTTTTTAATTACTGCTTCTTCATCCTTACCAGTTTTTACCTTTTCTTACCTTTGTCTTTAAATGTTTCTAATAATAATTAGAAGAATTGTGCAGTTAAGGGCAGCAAACTGCATTTAACAAATAAAAACTTGGTATATCATGGATGCTTGGTTCAAATTATGTATTTTAATTGCCTTCTCTTTCAGTGCCATGTGAGTTTTAGAGCAGTAGGTGTTTTGTACAAGTCATATTTATAGAAAATACAGATATGAGGGAGAGAAATGATTGTAAAATACCCCTTCAGCCCTGGCATTTGTTTACACTCATGCAAACCTACTGATAGTATTGTGTATGTGACTGAAAGCACGGTTTGGCCCTAAATACTTAAAACACTGAATAAATGAAAACAGCACAAAGTCCTCTGGAGCTTTTCAGTGGCCAGAGGAGTTTGGAAGGCGGGCTCTGGGTGTGTGTGACATCCATCTGAGAGATTGAGAATGTAGGGAATTTGTGGAAAAAATCCAGCGACGTGCTGCAAATCCTTAGGGGGAAAAGTCAACCAGCTCCAGATGTTGACATGGTTGACTGCAAGCACATGAAGTGCAGTGGATTTAACTCTTGCAGTCAAGAGTGCTTTTTTGTTTTTTAAACTGTGTCGACTACCAGGAGAGAAAGACATTTTCACTTCTAGAGACAGATGAGGTGATGGAGCAGTTAAGTTGCGCTGCCAACAGCGTCTATCAGCCTTTTAAAAGAGCGGTGTTATCTTTTCATTTCATTTTTAATGGCATGAGACAGGAATTCAGTCATTCTGAGAATACTAATTTTTCTAACATCTGATCAGTATACTTCTGATAAAACAGAAATAAATTCCTACCATGGACTAAGCTACCTATGATATTGTGTGATTAAGCACTTCAGATTCCCTAAGGCTGTCAATCTTATATGTTTCCTTCAGAATAAAACAAGCCACTTGCAGATATTAAAACACAAGGAGCACCTTGATTCAATTAAAAATGTTGGGAGCTGAGCTGGTACATAAGCAGTTAAAATAGAATTTCAGTGTTAGTTCTTAGCCACAGTGGGTTTAAATAGAAAAGTGGATGAATTTTATTGTATCACCTTTGATTTTTATTGCTGCCTCCGGATATGTTTTCATTGTATTGTTTTCCTTGACTAGCACATAGTTGGTGAAGTGCAGCCCTGCTCAGGACAGACCTAGAGAAATTGGTTCATGTTTTAGGAGATTTATTTTTTATTTAATTTTTTTTCATATTAAAGATGCTTTCAGATGCAGTGAATTAATTCAGAAAGTGCTAGTTGTCTTGCCAAAATACCTGTGGCACTGACATGCTACAGTACTGTGAACAACAATACCTTGTGTAAATAACTTCCAGACCTTTCCAAGTGGAGTTACTCATGGTTTATTTTGTGTTCAAAAGTGCACTAACAATGTCTGGGCACCAAGAATGCCATTAATAAAAATGTCACTTAAGAATCCAACTGGTAAATATAAATTTCAGTGTATACAGTTGGCTTCTGTTTCTGTTGCGCTCCACTGAATATAAAAATGTTCTTTGGGGTCTATCTTGTGAAAGCACTGCAGGCTGGTCACACACCAGTGGCAGCCTTCTGTCAGCTGGCAGCATGCAGGCAAATTTCCTGAATGGCATCTCTCTCCTCAAATGCTGTGGAAGGGCATCAGAAATTCAGTTTGAAAGACTCTTTAAGGGATTTAAATGTGAAAGAAGTAGACAAAAAAGGGACTGGGAGCAACAGGAGCAGGTCATTTAACAGCTGACATCCAAGCTCTGTGTTACTTTGGGGATGAAATGCCTTCTGGACAGGTTAAATGCTTTTTGTTGTGGAATTGAAGGCGTGGTGCTTGGACTAAGTCTACAAGTATATGCACTGTGTGCTATTGAGGGAGCGATGGATGTGTGATGTGTGTAGCATAGTTGCAGCTCTTCAGACTGGTATTGGAAGTACATGTTCAATCAGTCAATGTTTCTGTTAGTTTTTCCTTTTGCAATTTATTCAGTGAAGCAAGGCAGCATGTTTGCTGGACTCACAAGGAAGACCTAATTACTGTCAGCCTGATTTAACAGTTTTGAAAGTTTATCACTGTGTCTCTATACTCTGTGTTCTCTATTGTCACGATTGCATTTGCTCTCTTAATACATACCCATACCTGCAGATTTTCTAATAATTATTCAGCTCTTCTCACCTGCAAAGCATTTTGCAGAGGCATAGTCTTATCTCACAGTGTTATGAACACATTGTAAATAGAAGAAGCAAAAATCCTTTGAATGCTTATCATGAACATGAAGAGGTGCCTTTACACATTTTGGAAACTGAATACCTCTTTCATTCATGTTCTGTTTTATTCCACTCTTTCAATAATCCTGTTTACCTGTAAAACCTCAGAACTCCTCTTAAATGCTAATTTTTTGTTCTAGGAATAAATAAAAAAAAAGAGACACAGACTTTTTATGGTTGTTTTGAACACTGAGATTTTCAAAATGGTAGGCATGCGTTCCTGGGGCGTGTTTGCAAGAGGAAGGGTACCCTCCTAGAAAGCTGTGTCTCTGTAGCTGCCCACCAGTTGCCTGCACTGAGTCATGAGTGCCTTCTGACTTCTCCTCCACTCCTACTGCCTCCCTGCTACTTTCACAGTTAGATCCAGTGTTTCCCGCTGGTTCTCAGCCCCATTTTTTCATTCTATCTTTCTTTAAGTCATGTTGGATGGAGCTAGAGATTTCCCTATGTCTAGAGGCAAGCACAGTGGCATTAATTCAGGATTGAAGAACAGAAGGGAGACTGTAGACCTCGTTTCCACCAGAGATAAGAAGCCTGGCTTATGAACAATCTTTTATTTGTTAAATGATCAGTATGTGATTTCATAGATGGTTCAATGAGGAAAATTACTTTTGGTGTAGACAAACTGAAGAATATATTAAGTACCTGTTACTAAATAATTATGAGATGTGATAACGTATATTGGTTAGGGTTGGAAGAGATCTTAAAGATCATCTAGTTCAACCCCCCTGCCATGGGCAGGGACACCTTCCACTAGACCAGGTTGCTCAAAGCCCCGTTCAACCTGTCCTTGAACACTGCCAGGGATGGGGCAGCCACAGCTGCAACCTGGGAAGTGTCTGACTTTGCTGCCCATTATTGGATTTGTTGAAGAGTTGTAAGGTTTGCCCAACCCTGAGCGGGGTAAGTTGGGCTGAGGAACGCTGGCAGTTCCCAGCAACTGTGGCAGGAAGGATAAAGGACTTGGCAAAGGAAAATAAAACAATCCTGGAAAGAGAAAAGCGATGTGTTAGGGGCAGTCTTGATGATCACCCAGAAAGATGAGCATGATGTTAATAAGCAAACTGAAAAAGAAACTGATGAATCTCTACTAGAATTAATTAAGAGCTTACAAAGTGAACTGGAAACTGAACACTGGGTATGGTGACAGGCTGAAGAAGCATTGGCTGATGAGGAAAGAATTACAGGAAACCTGTGAAATAGCTTGCAGGACATATTCCAGAGGGGAGAGAAAATTAAGATTAGAAATAGCCCACTGATGAGGAGGAGACCAAGATAGCAAAGCTGGGTTTTCTAGCCTCGCTATGGAGGCCGAACTCCTCGATTGGGAAGTCATCTCCTATTATCCCTGGAAAGAGCTGAAAGAAGCTAGGACTGAGTTGCTTTCCAACCCTAAATTTAGGTATATAAGAAGGCTCAATGAGAATGAAAATGGGAATCTATTAAGTACATTTCCCTTTGGCCCTTTTAAACACCGGTTACCTTTCTAGCAGATGTGGGAGCCCAAATGTCAGCTCTAAATGCTGAGACAGCAAAGCGGAGTGGGGTTGTGCCTGACAAAAGACAAATAAAAGTTTCTGATGTGTCTGGAGACTCTAAACTGAAGCCCACAGCTTGGGTAGAATGTTGCTACCTGTTGACTCCACTCTCACAGAGATTGTCATGGTACTGGGCACATTCCTCTCCAATGTCTTGGGGATAGATCTATTTAAAGGAAAAGCTTGGATGATTCAAAGGGGAACGAATGGAAATTTGTGTTTCCCATGACCTCCATATGTCTTTTACAATTCACTCCCAAAACTTCTCCATCCAAGATTGTAAATGTAAAACCATGCCCCTTACCACTGGGTGCAAGAGAGGGGATCACCCCACTCATTCAGGAGTTAAAAGAGATGGGAATTGTCATCCAAACCCACTCACAATTCTCTGCTATGGCAGTTCATAAACTGAATGGAAAATGGCAACTGACAGTTGACTGTCGCTGCCTGAATGCAAACGCAGTCCCCTCCCTGCTGCTGTACTCAGATTGGTGTCTACAATACAGGAGCAGTGTCATTCAATATGAGCTACCATAGATGTAAAAGCTATGGTTTTCATGGTACCTATCCAAGAAAATGACCGGGAAGAATTTGCCTTTACTTGGGAAGCTGATCAAACAGCTACTGTTTTAACCCCTACAACCTCGTAATTGGTTTAAGGGATGGAGCCCCATTTCATGGCTATTGTCTGTGCTGTGGTCACTGGGACTCACAGGGTGGGCCCTGGAATTGGCATTATAATTGGTTTGGTATTTTTAGTGATAGGAATTGGGATTGTAAGATGCATGAGTTCTCATATACTTTCTGTTTTAACCCTCTCTCTTTCCTCCTCTGTGTGTTACGTGAGGATCACCACCAAAGATGATGAAGATGTTCCTCCATCTTCTATTCTATTGTTGTTTGAGCCACAGGGTTTCAACCTCTCGAGAGCCTGTGGTCATGTCCCTGCACACCCACCGAGTGGCAGCCTTCCAGTATCTGAAGGGGGCCTACAAGGATGCTGGGGAGGGACTCTTCGTTAGGGACTGTAGTGGTAGGACAAGGGGTAATGGGTTTAAACTTAAACAGGGGAAGTTTAGATTAGATCTAAGGAAGAAGTTCTTCACAGTGAGGGTGGTGAGGCACTGGAATAGGTTGCCCAAGGAAGTTGTGAATGCTCCAACCCTGGAGGTGTTGAAGGCCAGGTTGGACAGAGCCTTGGGTGACATGGTTTAGTGTGTGGTGTCCCTGCTCATGGCAGGGGGGTTGGAACTAGATGATCTTAAGGTCCTTTCCAACCCTAACTATTCTAAGATTCTATGATAAGCGTTCTGTTAAATAACATAGTTTGTTGGAAATAACAAGGAATTTATTTCTGGACCTCAGAGTAAATGAACACTGGTACAAAAGCTGTTCCTTGTGTAGTCTCAGCATACAACTTACATAATGTTTGATTTATAAGAGTCCAAAAAATTAGTAAAATAAACACATTGGTTTTTCTTTGGTAGCCATCTTAAAATTAAAAGTGAGTTCAATGTGTTATTGCTGCTTCTAGCTGTGCTTACAATCTTATTTCCTTTCCCCACCCTGCCACTGCCTGAAGTGTTCTCAAAGTGAGTTATTTTTGCTCGTGGAGTGTTCTGGTGTTTGCAACAGATATATTACCAATGGAGTAATCATCCTGTCTTCTTCAGAAAAATGCCTATTTCTTCTTACTCTGCTCCCTCGCAAGTGACTCAGTTTGAACATCTATTTTAAGATGTACAGGGAGTTCGGGTGTTATCAGAGGTCAGACTTTTAAGTGAATTAGGAGTTAACAATTGAAGTGAACAATTTTAAACTGTTAGATAAAGGGGAAAACAAAAAGCTTTGCTTATGTTGACTGTGAAGCAACAACCAGTATGCTCCTGATAGTGACTGTAAACATCATTTGCCCTCTACAGAGCTATCAGAAGCCAGTAGGCTTGTAGATTTAGTTTTGCTTATTATTTAGTTATGTGTCAGCCTTACCTAGACCGCATTGTCTATATGTTTATGAAGATGCAGTTCTTCACAATGGGGACATAAGCAAGCAGAATGGAGGAAGCCTCTAGGCTGGAAAGGACCTCTGGAGATCAGGTGGTCCAGCCCCTGAGCAAAGCAGGGCCAACTGCAGAGTTGGATCCTAGTTAAAGATGGATTAAATAAAACTAAATCACCACTTCAGGGATTTCTTTCTGGCTTTGAAGCTGATGTGTGTATGGGACAATTCCACGATTCATGATCTTTAAAACAAGTACGTTGTAATGTAACTGGTTTTGGGGTTACAGGTTCTCAGAAAACCAGGAGATTTCCCATGGGCTTTTCCACATCTTACTGTTCTTTTGGGACAGATCTGTAAAACGAGCTTTTATTTTTCTTGTCATAATTGTAGTTCAACAGGGTTTTTTTGTTTCATTGTTAGTTTGTTTGTTTGTTTCCCCTTTTCCTTCAGAGGTGTCTCTCTGCATGGAAAGGAGTAATAGTAGGATAGAAAAACAACAAAAAACAAACCAAACCACCAAACTGCAGAAGAAGGAAAGAGAATGAGAGAATATAAGTTTGAAAAGTGCATTTTCAAATAAAGCTTGAAAAGACCCATTCAATGATAGGAGGAAGAAATGGAATTACTGTTAACTTACAATAAAAACTCGTCCTTAAAAAAATGAACAGTAGCACATAGAAGAGGAACGCAGATAATAGAACAGTATGTTTAGAAAGGTTTGATAGAAATGAAAAATTAAATTCTATAAAGGTATAATATAACATTAAATTGAGAAGGAAACTGACTGGGGTTTTCTTGTTTTTTAAACAGTTGGACAAAAAGAACATTCCAGTGTAACTTTGAAGGAAGACAGTGAAATTATGGAGACAAGTCCATCTGACTCAAGCACCAGAGATGGTGTAGATGCTGAGAAAGAGGATGCTCATCCAGTTAAACAGTTGCCATCTTCAGAAGAAGATGCCGAAGACCACACATCTGAGCCACAGTCTTATGATCTGGGTTTTAAAAAGGTTTTTAAATTTGTTGGGTTCAGATTCACAGTGAAAAAGGAAAAGACTGGAAAATCGGAACCGGTTCAACTGCTTACTGTGAAAAAGGAAACACAAGCCCCTGAAGGAGCTGATGATCAAAAAGAAGTCAGCTTGGAAGAAACAGTGATGCCTGAGGATGCGCTCTCTGCAGAAGACACCACCAAAGACACACTGAAAAATGACAAAACAGAAGACGAATCTCCTAAAACACCAGAAGCAAATGAGATTTGTTCTCAGTCAGCTGCCTTAGCCACCGATACTGCATCACCACTACGAAAACTTTTTACTCAGGGATGGACTGGATTTAGAAAAAAGAAGAGTTTCAGGAAGCCTAAAGAAGATGAGCTACAGTCTTCTATGAAAGAAGAGGAGCAAGAAAAAGAGGGGACAACATTAACAACTGAAACCACTGAAAAGGAGAACTCTGAGCTCAAGAAGCAAGATGAAGAGAGGAATGTGACAGCAGTGACCATTGAAGGACATGAGAAAGAGCAAACTGAAAATCAGGAGTTAGAAAAGACTGTGGCAGCCACGGGAGTTGAAGCAAGTGAGAAGCAAGAGCTAGCCAAGCTTGATGAGCAGGGTCAAAAAGAGGATGTAGCAGCAGCATCTGTTAAAGAAAGTGTGAAGGAGAAAAATGCTGAAGAAGATCAGGAAAGGAAACCAGTGGAAGTCTCAGAAGATCTTGGTGAAAAAGAAGAAAAAACTGAAGGAGAGAAAGAAAGTGACGTGACAGAGAAACCGCAAAAAACAACATCAGTGGTACCTGTTGTCACTGACAGTGTGAACGGAGAATTGAAAACATCCTCAGAAGTCCTACTTGTGGGGGAAAAACTGGAGCCAGTGGAGAAGTGTGAAATAGATGACAGAACTGAAATATCCTCTGAAGAGAAACTTGAAGCAGGATCTTCGGTAATTGAAATTTCTAGTGGACAGCTTAAAGAAACTGAAGGAAGAGAAGACAATATACCTGTCTCACTGGGGAAAGAAACATTTGATGAAAAAGCAGAAGAAGCAGAATTGAAAATGTCACCCACAGCAGAAGTCATCGCAAAAGGAGAAGCTCAAGATAGAACCACAGAGAAGAAGGAAAGCAAAGAACATGAGACAAAACTGACTCCAGATGCTCCTGGATCAAAGTCCTGTCCTACTTCTGAATGTTCAGTTGACACAGAGGATGATCAACAGTCAATCAAACCCACTGATGAAGGCCTACAGGGAAAAACTGGCATAGTTATGACTGATACTATCAAACCAGATGAAATAACTCCTGAAGAGGCAGCTGGAAAGAAGCCTCCAGAAGGTATCGCAAATGAAGCTGATCTGCTGTCTTCTCAAGAAAAAAATAAACTACAAGGCAGCCCTTTAAAGAAACTCTTTACGGGTACCGGATTAAAAAAACTGTCCGGAAAGAAGCATAAAGGCAAAAGAGAAGACTCTAAGGTAGGGGAACAGGGTGAACCAATTCAACACTTATCAGATTCCCCAGATAGCCCAGAGGAACAAAAGGGAGAGAGTTCTGCCTCTTCTCCTGAGGAGATGAATGAAATTCCTTCTTTGGAAAAGTCTGTAGACGGAGTGCAGGTCACTGAAAATGAAGATGCTGCAATTTCAGATGCAGAGCGAAAAAGAGAAAATGTTACACCCTGGGCATCATTCAAAAAGATGGTGACTCCCAAGAAACGTGTCAGGAGACCTTCTGAAAGCGATAAAGAGGAAGAAACTGATAAGACAAAGAGCACTGCAGCACCTGCGACTGAAAACACTGTTGATGAAAGTCAGGGAGAAATAAAAGAAAATGGGGTGGACCAGAAACCAGAGAAAATCGCAGAAGAGCCCAAAAGAAAGGTTGATACCTCTGTGTCCTGGGAAGCTTTTATATGTGTAGGTTCTTCAAAGAAAAGAGCAAGGAAATCATCATCATCTGATGAAGAAACTGAACATAAGCTTGGTCAAGAAAGCCAAAAAGTAGAAGAGTCTGGACAGAGCAAAGAAACGGCAACAGATGCAATTCTTACTAGCTCTCAGGAGAGCGATCAAGGACAAGGGAATTCTTCCCCAGAACAAGCTGGAAGCCCATCTGAAGGTGAAGGCATTTCAACATGGGAGTCATTTAAAAGGTTAGTCACTCCAAGAAGGAGATCCAAAACCAGAATGGAAGAGAAAACTGAAGACTCTGTTGTGGGATCTAGCCTGGAGCATTCAACATCGGATGGTGAGCCTGGAAAAGATGAATCGTGGGTACCATTTAGAAAACTGATGCCTGGACGTAGGAAGAAAAAGTCAGACGGAAAGCCAGAACCAACTCGTCTTAAACAAGCGAGAGAGGACATGGCAGAAACAACTGAAGAAGATTCAGATATTCCAGCTGTTGTTCCTTTATCTGAATACGAAGCAGCAGAGCAGGAGAAAATTGAAGCCCAAAAAGCAAAAAATGCTGAAGCAGCGGGAGAACAAGCCTCAAGGGAAGAGAGAGCAGAAAAATTAGAGGAGACCCTACGAGTTGAGCAAGCACATGAAGGGCTGGTACATGCAGTTACTGTTACTGTTGTGGAAGGGGAAAGGGCGGTTACGAGTATTGAAGAAAGGTCACCGTCTTGGATATCTGCTGCTCTGACAGAGTGCATTGAGCAGGCAGAAGAAGAGGAAGAGAAAGAAACCGAGAAAGTATTCAAATCAGATGTTATTGTGGAAGAAGCAGTGGTAGCTGCTAAGACAGTGGCAGAGACAAGAAAGGATGTAAGTGATGACACCACAGGAAGTGAGTTAGAGCTAACTTCAGAAGCAGTGACAGCTCTGGAGGAGACAGTAGAAGCTTTATGTCCTGAAGAAACAATGGAAATGTCCCTTGCTGAGGAGACAACTGAGATGGTTTCTGCTGTTTCACAGTTGTTAGAAACCCCAGATACTACAGAGGAAGTTACACCTGTACAAGAAGTAGAGGCTACTGAACAAAATTTGAAAGAATTGGACAAACAGACGCGAAAAGTTCTTCATGAAGTTGCTGAACGAGTGAAGTCAGCAGATATAGCACAGCCAGTTAGTGAAAGAACCATGACAGCAACAGTACAAGGAATCGAGCCAGAAGTGAAAGATGATGCTAAAGGTGGGAGTGTTGTAGGCCAGGAAACTCTTTTGCTTGAACAGTCCTTGGAAAAAGGAGAACATGAGGAGGATGTCTTCCAGCCCCAGGGAGGTGCAGGGAGCATTCAGAGCAAAAATGAAGTTGAAGAGAGTGTTCTACATGAAGGTTCAGAGAGAAGTGAAATACCTGCTGCAATGAAGGAAAGCACAGAAGGATATGAAAACGTAGATGTAGTGAGAGATGAAAGCCAGTGGCAGGCATGTGAAGAAGCAGTTGTAGAAGACCATGAAGAAATATCTGAAGTAGAGAGGACTGTAGAGGAACCTTCATCAGACGACAGAGAGTTTCACAGCATCAAAGCAGTCACTCCCCAGGAAGAGCCATTTGCAAAGCAAGAGCCTTCAGAACAAGAGAAACTGCCCGTAACAAAGTTGACAGTAGATGAGAGAAGAGATGAATGTATTCCCAAAGTACAGACTGCAGTAAGTATTGCATGTAACACAAAGGTTGATTTGTAAAAGAAAACGATCAGCAGGTGTTAGGTGTTATGCCTAATTTAGAAACAGGTTATGGCAATATTACTGTCACAGACCTTCCTTGTGCAGCCTAGGCAACTGAAGTTCATTTCCAGTGAGACACACACACAGATGTCCACTGAGTCTTGTGTGCAAAGTGAGGTGGATGCGATTCCAACAGAAATAGAATGGGATTTAGTGTGCATGGATCCGAAGGTGCTAAAACAATTGCCATTAGGATTCCTGCACAGCACAGTGACTGAAGGTGCATGAACACTTAAGATACATATGTGATCCATATGCTACCATACATAGTGGATGGTATTTTCAGTTGTACGTAGAGGTATAATTTTAGCTGAGGTACTTCTGCAAAGGGAGGATATTAAATAACACCACTATCTCCAGCTTTAAATGCACAGGAGTTATTGTGGCTGATGTGTTCCTACCTTCTTCCCTACCTCCCCACCATCTTCCTGGCTTAGTCTTGGTTTCCAGTGCTCAGCTATCCCTTGCTTTAGGCTGCCCTTTGTTTAATGAGCTGTGTGTCCTGAGAAACTGGGATCTTGGTGACCTGCTAATTTCAGTATCATCACCTCATGCTCTTCCCGTAACCCCCTCCTTTAGGCCACTTCTTGTGCTTTTTCACCCAGAACATCCCTGGTACCCTTTTACACAAGTCTGTTGCAATTCTCCACAGGTGCAGGACAAGACAGATGATGAAATTGCTTCCTTGAAGTTTAAAGCTGAAGAGCCTGTGCAGCTTGAAGGACAGGACAAAACCCTTACAGTGGTACCAGAGTGCACAGTTATCACTGCAGTCCCCATTAAGCCTGAAAGACAAGATGAAATTGCTGACTTAGGCTCAGAAGACCAAGCTTATACTAAAGGAGTGCCTAGCAGGGCACCTGCTCAGAGAGAGGAAGAGAAAGATGATACTGCACTCCTTGGTGTAAAAAGCACAGAAGTCACCGTTACTGAGGTTCCACTGCAGAATGAGGTAAAAACCTCTGCCCTTGCTTCAGAAACAGCTGGCTTAGAAGCAGCTGCAGATGCTGAGGCAAGTGTGAGAGATGGGGCTGTCAGGCACATTACAGCAAAAGATTCTGTGCCCATCCTAGAGCCACAATCCAGAATAAAAATGACTGAAACACCCTCCCTAAGTGATGAAACCAAGGGTGGCAAAATGGAAGATACAATGCGTGAACCTGAAACACACTCAGAGAGTGGTACCACTATCACTGAGGCTCCCACATGGATTGAAGCAGACAGTGCATCTACTTTAGCATCAACATGCCCAGATATCACTGAAAATGGAAGCACTGTCCTAACTGACATCAGTCCTAAGAAATGTGAAACACCAAGCAGCTTTGCTGGAGAAGAGACTGTGGAAAAAGAACAAGAGCTTTCAAACTGTCAAGACTTTGAGAAAGAAGATGATGAAACTGAGCAACCGATGGAAAGAGCCAAAGAAGTGTTTGAATCTGGAAAACCAGAAGCTGTGAGAGCTGATGCAAGTTCAACTGCTGTCCAGCAAGAGGTTTTAACTGTGCAAGACGAAGGCTCTGACTCAGCCTTCCTACAAGCTGAAAGCATGGAGGCTCTGAAAGTGCCAGTGCCTGTAGCAGCTGCAGCAGTTGAAGAGCATGTCATGGCAGAAACCGTAACACCTACAGACGTGACAGCCAAAACTGTACAGCCCTTGGCAACCACACCAGAGCAAATGGCTTCTGAAGAGGTCCGAGTTACTGCTGTTGACTCTTCAGGCTGGGGGACTGCAAATCTTGGTAATGCAGAAGCCCCTGAGCCTCAAGTAAGTCCTGCTTCCATGAATGGAATATCAGAGGAGCAAGAGAGGCCCCAGAGTAGAGGGCAACATGAACAAAATGGTATTCTAAGTGACAGTCTGTCTTTCTCCCACACGGAATTTGAGCAGGATGTTGTCCAGTCTGTGACTATAGAGTCCCAGAGTACAAAAATTGTACTGAACGCCATCGAGACGGCTGTTCACAAGCTTGCAGAAACAGAAGAGTCGGCTGCCTTTGAGTCAGAGCAGCACATTAAGTCCCTAGGGAAAAGCCCATTAGATACAAATATATCTGAACTTCTGGAAAGTATGCAGGTGGATCATCAACTTCCAGTAAAAGAAGAAGAGATACACAGCAAAGAACAAGAGCTCCAGCAATCAGGAATAGTGAAAACTGCTGTCTTAACAGAGTCTGCAGAGATTCATGCAACTGTAGAAAAACCAAAAGACACACTGTTAACTGCTGAGATGCTGAAAGATGGACAAAGTCAGAATTCTTTAGCAATTGTGACTAGGCCTGAAGATGTTTCAAGGGAAAGTGTGAGACTTCAGAAATCAACACTAGAACTAAGTACTTCAGAAGATTCAACCAAAGACCTCCTAGACATACACCCACCAAAACTAAGGGAAAAAGAGGCTGGGCAGATTATAGAAATCCTAGACCAGCATACAGGTCAGCAAACATGCAGAGAAACTGAGGAAGACCATCATCACTCACCAGTGGAAGATGGAAAAACACAGACATGGGAAGATGGTAGCTGCCAAGAAGGAACATCTTGTGATAATTCACAAAGTCAGAACTCAGTGGCTCATGATGCCTTGAATGTAAGTAGTATTTTTAGACAGTAATTCCTTTCCTTTTCCAAGATTGTTTTGGGGGGTATCTAAAAAACTGTTGTGTGGGGTTTTTTTGGGTTTTTTTTTTTGTTTGTTTGTTTTTTTTGTTGTTTGTTTTTTTAGTGTTGTGGTAAGAAGAGGCTGCTCCTCAGTGTAACCAACAGGCCATTGATCTTTTATTTCATTTTCTTTTCCTTCCCTTCTCATTTTCCTGCCTCTCTCTGCCTACTCAACACTTAATTTCTTTTCTGTACAGCTACCCTCATCTTAATGGCCTTTGACATGGCCTGTAGTTTGGGACGGTATTTCTGGGAGGTAGAAAATGTGGTTTCAGTTTTCCTAGATATGCACTCATATATGGCACATGTTTAATGTGTGGGATTTAAACCACAAACACGCTTCCTCTCTTAACAATGCTCTCTTTAAAATCTAAAGGATGTGAGTATTGCCTTCCATGGTAAACCTGGAGTGCCTCATGTACCAAAGCTCTTTGCACTTCAGTGAAATCTGAATCAGAAATGAAAGCTACATTCTCTCCCCCTTACTGCACTTGCTTCACTAAATCATGAGATCTTTATCTCTATCTTTGAGAACTGCTTGGAAAAATAAGATTTTCTTGGGAGAGTAAGTTGTTATTAATAAAGCATTTTTTACTGTCATCTTTCTTTCAGATGTGCTAAGCGTCCATGTGGTATTTGGAGAGATGCCAGTCCTAGAGAACAACTGACAATCCTGTGACAAAACCAGGAGCTTTATTCACTACCCTTTATTCTTGGATGTTAACATCCGCTCTTTTGAAGACCTCACCTTCTTTGTCATTTCTATTAAAACAACGCCTGTAGTGTTGGCTATATCCACATGTGTTCCATTCAAAAGTCATTTGCCTCTACCCAAAATACACCATTTAGACCAGAGATGCACAACCGACTGAATGGACAGACCACTAAAATTTGTGCCACAGATGTTACTGTCCCCTCACTTAATGTGTGTCCTGCCTTGTCCCATCTTGAATCCCTTCACTCATCTGTGAATCCCCTTTCTTTCTTTCTGCAGTCTCTTGCCCCCCACATGTTCCATAGCTGCCTTGATTTGACCTATGAGTGGCTGTAGATGCTGCTTGACTTGTGTGTGAGGGGGAAGAGGAGGTCTGACTGAGAACACATGAGACTTCTGGCCAAGTAACAGATGTGTCTTTATCAAACAGCAGGAACTGGATCACGCACAAATTCTTGAGCAAAATGCTCAAGATTGCTGCCTTTCAGTCCCATTCAGGTATCTCTGTCCATCCTTCAGTTGTATTTGTGCAGGCCTGATTCAGTCAGAAATTACTTCTACAGTGTAGCTTGAAAGGAGACTGAGAATACCCTTCTTCTGCTGTTCCAGACTTCAGGTCTCAGGACTGGACTGTAATGTGTTGAATATTTATATGTATGTCTTAAACCCAGTTCTGATTTTAATGTAGAGCTATGATACTTCTGTACTATTTAGGTGTACCCTTAAATGAATTTTGTAGAGTAGCCTGGAGAGGAAATTGATACCATTGGAGTGGAAATTGATAACACGTAGTTTCCTATTTATTATTCCAGGTTCTTCCCCTATTAAATTTCTCAAAAACTTGGCTGTCTTGCTTTGAATATTTATATATATATCCTAAACCCAGTTCTGATTTTAATGTAGAACTCGGATATTTCCGAAGACAAAAGGAGAGTCCTGACCTCTGTCAGATCCACCAATCACTTCTACTTGCAGTCCTGCCTTGTTTCTGAGAACCTTCCTGACTGACCATTTCCATGTCATCTTGCTCACGTATCACAACCCTCAAATTGCAGCCCTCTTATTCCAGGGTCTGCTCATTTCTGGTCACTGCTCCATCCAACCCCAAGCTTTTCCCTGCACTTAAACCATCTAACATCCTTCCTGCTGCATACAAGCTTCTTTCTTGCCCAATCCCTGCCTGAACCTCTTTCCCACCACAGTGTTTCCTGAGATCCTTCATGCTCCTGCCAATTCCCTGTCTTCACTGAGGGGAGAGTAGGAAGGAGGGTAAGGGCTTGGTGACGAATTCTGCCTTTGATTGCAAAAAAGCTCATCAGACCTTTCATGTGCTGAGATCTTAAAAACCTTCATGTAAGGTGGATTGGACTGACAACAGCTGGAGACCAGAATGAACAGGGAAATTAAAGATGGAAAGGATCCCCAAGACTGAGAGTTGTGGATGTCTGTCCCAACAGGAGCCGGTCCTGTCTTTTGTTGTTTACATTAAAATCAAACATGGGGTACAAGTCAGTACTTTCAGCTCTGATTTCTAAAGTGAAGGTTACAGATCGCACTTTGTGAAACCAATGCCCATCAATTTGAACAATAGCTCACTATCCTACCTGTATAGTAATTTATTTTAAAATCAACTTTTAGTGTACAAATGCTCTTGTTATGGCAGGTGCTTGCCTCTCCTCGAGGCTGCACATACAGCAAGCAATGTGACTGATTGCACTGGTGTGATTGCACCATCTGGTGCTGCCCTGTGTGGAAGCATCAAAAGATTTTTCCTTACCTCAGAGCAAATTATATAAATATTTAAAGCCAAACAATGTGGTTTCAAACAATCCAGTCTATCTCTGTCCATCGTTAGCGGCAGCTTTCCCCTTTAGCTTTGGGCAATTCCAACAACCTCGGTTGGTTTCCACAGGTTGAAGTTGGCTTGCAAGTTAATCATGCTCTTAATGACACTTCACAAGTGCAAATTTGGCTGAATTTGTACAAATTGTATACCTATGTACGTTAAGCCATATTGCAATTACTGCAGCAGGTAAAACAAAATAACAGTAGCATGACCTGTGTAATCCCGATTCTTATGTTTGTAGCTCCAAAGCTGTTAATAATATGTAAAGTTAACTCCTGTCTGAACCTCATTTAAATAAAGCTAGCTTTACCACAATGTAAATTGTCTGTTGGTAGTAATTGGATAGGTGAGTGCTTTAACTTGCCTGTTTTCTCTATTAATCCAGGGCCTAGGTAAACAATGCAACAAACTATAAAACAAATACAAAAGCTACTTCTTAGATAACTGACAGCTAAAAAAATACTGCACCTGAAACTACACTAGTGGTGCGAGGAGCATGCCTCCACATAAAGATACTACCTTATTCCAGCATATTGCTTTGGCCTCTGAAACCCTCACTTGAGACTGTGACTTCTGGCTTGTGCTTAAAAGCTTGAAGCTTTCTCTAATCCAATGTATTGGGTTACCAAATTTGATTTTGTGTTTTTAAGGTAGATTTTCATTGATTAAATAAAATACAACTACAAATTTGTTCTACTGTGTATATGTGGTGTTTTTTTCAGCTTGCTTACTGTAAATTATTTTCTGATGTTTGCTTCATCTTCAGAGAGTTAGATTTGCTCCTGACACTTCATTCATTGTTGACTGATGTTCAGCTTTTGATGTGAATTAAAGGAACTGATTACAGAATTAAACTGCTTGTAGGTTTCTATGAGATATGCATACTTCACAAGAAGTTATAAGAATAAGGTACTTCAGAAGTCTGTTATGAAAAAAACCCAACTTTAAATTCAAGATAACAGTATTCAGTGAGACAGAATGAAAAATTAGTCAATCATATGCCTACTGGTGCAACTGAAGTATAAAAAGAACCAGCAAAGCAACATGCAAAAAAAATTCAGCTTAGAGGAGTAGATTAGGGACCTTAGGCCCGTAACCGGTATCTTCTAGGCTCCCCTACTTCAGCTTAGCCGGCATATGCTACACAAACCCCAGATGTTTAGCAGCATTTGTACCTCAATAGACTTTCATAGATTTGCACCTGAACTCATTTTATAAAGCTACATGTTTCTGCAAACACCTGCACTGGTCACAGCAAATGCAGGGATGTTGAAACACTGCAGGATGCCTTGTGCCTCGCTTTCATAATTGTGTCAGGGGGTTCATGCTGCACGGAACTGATCTCACTGTCCAGCTCTGGCATCTGGAGGTACAGATCCAACCAGCATCTCCCACCAGACTTTGTGCTCAAGGCACACAACCTCTGCCAGTGTTCTGCAAGGTTTATGCATTTATACTATCCTGTTGCTGGTTAACATAAAGTCCCTAAACAGGCATCAAGGTAGGAATTGGAGGCCAAGCCTCTTGCATCCCAGGGAGGTTTGTGTGCCATTTTCTCTTTTGTAAGGATGTTTTATTGGCAATAGCTCAAGTATCCTGCCTGTTAACTCAAGCTATGGAAGTGGGTCTGGCTTTCCTATTCAGATCCAGACCATATGGGAGGCAGCTGTGCTTGTTGAGGAACCTGCACATCTTGGATACAGCAAGTGCCTAGGGATGGGCAGGCAGTTTGCCAAAAGCACAGAGGATTCCTGAGATGGTCATATCTGGGTGCTGGACATTTGTCATTCATACTGCCACATGGAAGCCTGAGGAGGCTGATGGCCCTGCAAGGAAGGATGTGGTTTGGAATGAGGAGCAATGTGGAGCAAATGGCCACTGGGATTGGCAGCACAGACTTTGGAGGCCTGATTTTGAAAAGGTGGATGAGATGTGGTGAAAGAGGGTGACTCTTAGCTCTGTGAACATTTTAGGATGCTGCTAATAAGATGGAAGCTTAGCCACGACAATACTAATACCTAATTCAGGGCTCATGTAATTTCTAGCTGGACACTAAATTTAGTCTTTACAAAAATAAGAATGAAAGATAAGGGTGTGGTAAAGGCCTGTGTCTCTTCTGCTCCAACATCCTCTTAGAAAAATAATGTTGACCCTTCAAAATAGTAAGAACAGTTTTAAGAAGTGTCTTCTATTCCTCCTTGAAAATTACATCCATTTCCAGAGCTTGGAAAACTCACACATCTCAGTCCTTAGTGCAAGGACTGGTGATATGATGAAATGAGGGATGCAGAAGTCCGATATGCCATGGAGCTTCCTGGGCACAGTCTCTGTGAAGTCCTGGGGCAGCTTGACTGTGTCTGTATGACCT